TTTGTATCGGGGGCCATTTGTTTGTCTTCTTAATGATTTTTTTTTTAATAAACAGGCTATGGAACCTTGTTTGACGCAGTGCAATGTTTCGGAGGATTCGAACCGTGTCATGATCATGGGGACGTCAGTTGCACTGTTTTTTGTAAGATATATAAGTATGATTTTGGTGTATGTACTAAATATAGCGGATGTTGTTGTCATGTACATATTGATAATTAAATCTGTCCAAGATGAATTGAACTAATCAAAATGTATTCCTTTGCATAATAACATCAATAATTTTATAGGCCTGCGACTTCGGTTTTTTCGGGAATTTCGGTTTCGGTTTCTCGGGTTTTCGGTTACTTTGGCAAATGAAAACTGTCCCAAAACTAACCGAATATGACTTCGGTTTGGTTGGGTTCGGACACAGTTATTTCGGTAAAGAAACTCGGTTATTTTGGTTCACAAGACTCTTGAAAAAAAAACATCAGAAAACGATGAATCACACCGGGCGGTGAGATCTGAACGATGGAGCTGATGATAATGAAAGGCGGAGAAGATGATGAATTGATGATGATTATGATGATAAAAGACATAAATCAAAAAGAGATGGTGATGATAATAATGAAGAAGGAGAAGATAATGGTAGATGGAAGAAGATTAGGAAGAAGAAGGTGATGATAACAATGAGTGGATGATGAATGAAAGAATAAGGAGAAGAACTGAAGTAGAAGAAGAAAAAAGAAGAGGAAGAATCGCTGTTGCCTAGAAGAAAAAAGAAAAAAAACAATGAAATGAGGAAGAAGGTGAGAAGAATGACGACTGGATAAGAATATCAGCTCTTCAATCTTCATTGGCATGAAGGAATCTGGTTCATCCCAGATCTTATGAAGAAATAATCTTGCAATCACTGGCACTTTCATCAGCTCACACTCACCATTAACCGTACAACTATGTTTCTCAATGAATCTCTTCACTTCCCACGTATCAGACTTAGAGATTACAGAACAATAGATACGTCATCCACAACCTTTAGCATTACATCGAAACCCAAGTTTTGGTTTGTCATACCTGTACTGTTTGATGTTCCTAGCTGTGCGAAGAGTGTAGTCGAAGACACCTTCTTTGAAGGCGATTTTATTGTAGAACACTTGGTGCTGGTACAAATTGCCATCACCTCTTCGAATCTCGTTCTAATATGATTATGGGAACCTTCAAGATATGTCGTCATTGTTTTGAGCAAATCTTCTCAACCACGAGGAATCTATGCACAAAATGACTTGGAGAAGATGCTCAACTCAACTACAGAACTCCTCAAAGAAGAATCAAGTCAAACGGAGTTCAAACGAAGGAGTTATTGATTTTACAAATCATGTGTTCTCCAGTTTACCCGATCCAGATATGCGTTCATTCAACGAATGATTCCAAATGGGTCAGAATGAATTAAGCTACAAACCAAGTTGTTCTACAATCTTGGTCCATGAGAGAAGCCTAACTAGGTGGATTCAGTCCAAAAAGAATGAAGAAAGATCAATTTTCGTCCATAGCAAAATAATATTTAATTTTTTTTTATTTCTCTCTCTTACATGCACTTTAGAGTTTGAATTTCATCTCCCTAGATGCTCTGCATGTTGAGGTATTATTATAGACGATTTTGATGTATTTCCCTTCTATATAATGAGGTTATCTCATGAATAATAAAATAAACATTTTTGATATTTTTGGAACTTTCTGAGAGTGTTTATCATTTTTCGTCAATGGTGTGTAATATCCATTGGTTTGGTTAATGGTGTGTAATATCCATTGATCAATGCATGACACGTCTTGGTGTGTCATATCCAGGGGGTCTTGTCGAGAGTTATTCTCATTGTCACCCTTGAATTCGTCTTAGTGTGTCATATCTAAGGGATTCAAGTTCGGTAAATTAAGAGTTTTCTGCAGCTCTTGTGCGACCATTCGCTCCACCATCCTTGTTCTTCGTGGCTTCACCGTCCGTTGAACCTAAGGAATATCTTTCACCATCTTAGAGTGTCGAGTCCTCGGGAGGATTTTTATCACGTTCTGACATCTTGTCCCTCGAGCTTTTTTTCTTCCTCGTCACTATCACTCTCAGGAATAGCATCGTGACGAATCGATGGTTCATCGACGAAATCGATGACAGCTTACTCTAGGTTGTAGTCATTTCGAGCGGTTATATCTTCCAAATCTTCATCGTCGGGTTCCTCGTCAAAACCTCTAGGTTCCTCGTCAACAGGGACACCGTTCATCTCTATCTCAACAAATACATCGGAGAAGCAAAACGAAACTGAAGAAGAAGAGTTGGGAAGAAGATGATTTGGGGATTTTGGGGATTAGGGTTCGTATAGGAGATGAAATCGATTTAGGGGTTTTTGTTTTTTTGGTTATAATCGGGTTAGGTTTAAGGAAATTGGTTTATTATTGGTTTAAAATTGATTAGGATGGTTAAGAGGAGATTGGTCTACAGTAAACCGACACTAATCCAGTTCGATGTGTAACTAAGTATCGAACTTTAATTTTATGGAGAAAACGGTTTCGAACTTTTGGTGTGGGGGGAAATAATTGTGGAACTTTATTTCGAGGGGGATACCGAGATGGAACTGGTCGACACCGACAGTTCCGGGGGGGGGGGGAATAGGTTTAATCAGGATCAAAAATTTTGATTTCTCAGGATCCAAATTAAAAAAATTATTCGGTTTAATCCGGTTTTTTATTTAAGAAAATTAAAACTTTTAAAAGTTTCAAAAATATTAAAAAATGAAATTTTCTTAAAAAGTTTAAAATATTAAAAATTTTAAAAGTTTCAAAAAATATAATATTTAATTTAAGTTTTATAGAATATTTAAAATTAAAATGATTTCGTTTGGCAACAGATTTTTAAAAACTTTGCGATTCATAATAGAGATGATTATATTTTTCTTATGGATTGACTATATTTAATTTTTTTGCGCGTACACTGAAAATATAAAGTTTTTATTTTTATTTTTTAAATGGTGTTAAAACCTAGTGAGTTTAGTATTATTACACATAACAATTAGAAATAGTTATTGAACTCATCCTTATTTACACATTTAGTTTTTACTAAATTTTTAAATACTAACCAATTAGCTAATAAAATAATATATAAATAACTTAGTGTATGTATATTGTAAAGCATGTGTCAAGAAAAGAAAGGGAGAAAAGTAGCTGTTTTTACCTCTTCGTAAAAACATTTTGAACAAAGACTGAGAAGATCTCACACAGAGTTCCTGGATCAAAAAGTGTCGAAAACCAAAGAAAGTAAATCCATGATATTGGGCCCAAACGTAGAACAGCCCAATCTTTCTAGTGACCAACGTTCAACAACCTCTGGGCATTTGGGTATTCGGGTTAGATCGGGTAAGAACCGTTAAGATTTGGGTTTCTCGGGTAGAGGGATTTAGGACCTAGTATTTGACTTATTTTCTTTCCAAAAACAATGGATTTGTGTTTGTAGTTTTATATGTTTCATTTATTGCATTTTCACATTTATTTCGGCCTTAGGGCTAGCTGAAGGACTCTTATAAAGTCTCCCTGCAGCAGTTGTACAAGTTTTTTACCCTATTATCAATAAAGAACCAAACTTTCTTCACTTCTTCTCTTTAAGTTTTATTAAGAGAATAAGCTTGTTCTTTTTCTTGTGTGTGTGACTCCACAAGGCTAAGATCGTGTATTGTATCAGACCCCAATCACATCTCTGTGGAGTACTTCAATCCGCCATCACTTCCCCTTCATTTGATCCCACACGAGAGAAGCGACCGCTATCGTGTCAAATCTACATCAACGACCATCTTTCCTTCACAAGAGAGAAGCGACCACCATCTTGTGAAGCCATCATCTCTATCCTAGTACAAGCTCACCACCGAGTCTTGTATCACCATTTTTCCGTTGTTCATGGCAAAGTATATGAATAAGTACAACACCCAGTCGGGCCCATTTGTCTGTTGTTTCATGGTCTGTTAATAAACACGTTATGGACGGGGACAAGTGGCAAAGTATATGAATAAGTACAACACACTATGGAATAAGTACAACACACTATGGACAACTAGCGTTTGAAAATGTAACTAGATATTGGACAAGCTAGCTCATACTTTATCGGGACATAGAGAGAGGGTTAAAGAGAAGAAAAGCGATTTTCGAAAATGGTGATAGAAATTAGGTTCAACTGAAGTTGAGAAAACGGCGATACAACTTAGGTTTGCACAAATTAAGGACAAGCGATTTAATCGAAGGAAAGCTTTAATTTTGTAAGATTTGATTGTCGAAAAGAGATTTCAGTGGAGAAAAATAGTAAAAGCGAGAGATAAAGAGGTGTGCTATTGGGAAGAAGAAAGTGTTTCGTTAAGATAATTAGTATGGCAATTCAGATAATATTGTAACTTTGTAGGGTGTAAAGGAACAATATCTTTCATATATCTCCCCAACTTTCAAAAGTTACTGAAGTGGTTATATGTTTGAGATAAGTGACCCTAAGTGCAAATAATCATGATTAAATGTGTAACATTTTTTTTTTTTAAATAAATATTATATCCTTTAAAAAATAAATACCAAATGGACCAATAAGGAGGGAGTAAAACCTTACTTTTATATATATGACAATATAGTTTTCATATACATATTTAAAATATTAGAAAACTAAGACATGGAAAAAGTATGAAATTAAATATGCTATTTTATTTATCGAATTGACCTAAACATAAGAAAGGGTATATTGTGAATGCTATGTTATACTAAATTGGTAAAATGTTTGTTATTTATATGTAATAAATTAAATAATGTTTAATGGTTAAGTAAATTCATTGCAAAGTCTATTAGTTTTTTTAACTTATAAAAATAGATGTTGAAATATTTGATTTTAAAAGAAATGACACATATCACAAGGAAAGATGACACGTTATACTAAATTGGTAAAATGTTTGTTATCTATATGTAATAAATCAAATAATATTTTATGGTTAAGTAAATTCATTGCAAAGTCTACTAATTTTTTTAACTTATAAAAATAGATGTTGAAATATTTGATTTAAAAAGAAATGACACATATCACAAGGAAAGATGACAAGTTATACTAAATTGGTAAAATGTTTGTTATCTATATGTAATAAATTAAATAATGTTTTATGGTTAAGTAAATTCATTGCAAAGTCTATTAATTTTTTAACTTATAAAAATAGATGTTGAAATATTTGATTTAAAAAGAAATGACACATATCACAAGGAAAGATGACACGTGTCAGCTCCTTAGAGCATGAGTTTGGAAGAACCCTACTTTATTGTGCAGATTTATTGTAAAGCATGTGTCAAGAAAAGAAAGGGAAAAAAAATTCGACCTTTTGAAAAAAAGAAAAACATTTTGAACAAAAGAGTCAGAAGGTCTCACACAGAGTTCCTGAATCAAAAGGTGTCGAAGACCAAAGAAAGTAAACCCATAATATTGGGCTCAAACGCAGAACAGCCCAATCCTTTTAGTGACCAACGTTCAACAGCCTCTAGGCATTCGGGTATTAAGGTCGGGTTCGGGTAAGAATCGTTCGGATTTGGATTTCTTAGGTAGAGGAGTTTGGGACCCAATATGATAAACATAAAAATTTGGTTTGGTTTCGGTTTGGGTACATTCGGGTTTGGGTTGGCTCGGGTATAAATTTTCATAACCATTAAAATCCGAAAATTTCCGGGTTTTCGGATAAATACCCAAATGTTTGGGTAAATACCCGGAATTTCTGGTAAAAATTTGGAATTTCGGGTATAAATTAGGATATTTGAATAGATAACTCGAGTATTCGAGTCCTAAATTAATTTTATAGATTTATATTTCGGGTATTTTTCGAGTTCGGATCGGTTTCGGTTTGGATTTTTGGTTCCGGTTTATTTGTCGAGGCCTAATTATCAATACACCACCTCTCTACCTAACAAACCAGCTTACCGAATGAATCCGGAGGAGTCTAGGGATGGAAGCTTGTACGGGTATGGCTTTGGAAATCAAACCTTTGATTTTGATTGTGTTTACGTGGCATTCATCTGAGGTTTATGTATCTAGGGTTTTTTTCATTTATCCTTTATCAGCTGTGGTGAGAGTAATCGTGTTCTCTTTATCCGGCGGTTTCGATTTCGATATCCTCCTGTGTGGTGTCTTCTTCCTGGGTTTTTCAATCGGCGCCGTTTCCTACATTTTCTTCAATTTCTGAGGTAACTCAAATAGTAGCTCCTTGCTTTACTTTCGACGATGATGAATAGCTTTAGTTAGATTGGAAATGAGTCCATATAGTTAGGTATTTGAAGTGAGTGTAGTGTTTGTCCGAAGGTAAATTTGCTCTGAAATGTTACTATGTGATTTCTGAGCTAACTCCGTGCTTTACTGATGATGATGATGAATAGATAAATAAATGCCTTTAGTTAGATCCTGAATCGATGTAGGTATATATTTGAAGAGAGTGTAGTGTTCGTTTGAATATGAATTAGTACTATGTGATTTCTGACGATGATGAATAGATAAACTCATTTGCTTAAGTCCTTGTAGTTAGATCGTGAGAAGTAGTCAAAAGATGATGAATGGATATAGTTAGATTTTTGATGTGAGTGTAGTGTTTGTTTGAATGTGAATTTTGCTCTGAAATACTTATATGTTTTTTTATGGATGGAATTAGTATGTCAGGTGAGATAGAGGTTGTCGAGCAAAGGAAACCTGATGATGCACCCAAATCAAGTGCCCGCAATGATGATTCACAAAACTCAAGTACAAGTTGTGTGCCTAACTTTGTGCTGTGTGGAAAATCCCCCAAAGTTACCCAACCGCAGCAGAAGAAAGATGTGGTCCACGAGAAACCACTGATGGATTCACCTTCACTGAACAGTGCGCAGAGCTCTATGAGAAGGCGGATGGGAGCTGCTTTGTCCAAGTTTGATAAGAGAGGGACGGGGAAGCCAGAGACAAAGACTGAAGGAAAGGGAAACAATGGAACAACTGAGAAGAAACAGGAAGACAACAAAAGTGAGGTAAAGGGGGAAGAGGGACATATCAACGATCCTGTGAGAAACGGAGAGATAGTCACTGTCCCTGTCCCTGTCCCTGTCCCTGAGAAGAAAGACGAAGTGAACAAAAGTGAGATAAAAGAAGAAGGCAATGTTGAGAACAAGGAGGAAGAAGGACATATTAGCTGTGAAGAAAATGGTGTGGGAAACGAAGAGATAATGACTGTCCCTGATTTAACTACTGCAATTAGTGGTCTCAAGGAAGCAGTGGATCAATTAACTAATGCAATCACCAAAAACTTTGAGGAGGTATTTCTCTCTTTCTCTCCCTCTCTTCGTGTAGATAGTTTATAGTCAATTGTTTTCTGAGGTTAGTATAGTTTCAGGATCCATTAGACAAACACTATGAGACGCTGTGTAAGGCGGTACAAATTGTAGCAGTATTCACCACGGCGGGGTCATTCTATAACCCTCCTGGAGGATTAGATACGTACGGACATATCAGGTTTAGAAGGTCAGCGGGCTATAAGGTGTACCATGTGTTGAGCGACCTCTCCTTTCTGCTGGCATATGTGAACTTGGTTCATGTTTTAAAGCCCGTGTCAGAGGAAAACAGGGAGAGTGAGTTGAAGTTAAAGATTGCCATAGGATGGGCTGTTCTGTGGCTCACAGTGATATTGTTCCTTGGTTCGTTTGTGGCAGCCTTCTGGGTTGTTTATCCAGATGAATCACTTGAGACCTGGCCTAGGTGGTTCACGTTAGGAACGGCCTTGCTGAAAGTTGTGTGGAGCTTGGTGTTTCTTTTTGGTATGAAGTGTTGGCGTATAGTACGTGGGTGGGTGTGTTAAAGATTGCTATATCAGAGGATGGGAGAGTTTTTGTTTAATGTCAATGTGTGTGTTTGGTTCTGTGTCTGTGTTGACTCAAGTAGAGGACGTTTGTGCAATTGAAACATGATAAAATCGGCAATTCATTTCATCCTTAGTCTTGCATCTAAAATACCAAGAACAAGCGGTTTGTGCATCCGTCTTTCCTACCAAAATAAAGTATATAAAGAAACTGGAAGGTGACTAGAAAGATTACTTCAATATTTCATACCTCTAATAATAACATTGCACCACACACGATTTCCTTCTAGAAATCATATCATTGGATTTCTTCAATAATTCTAAGAGAAATAAACCACAGTAACTTACTGAAACTCAACAACCTTTAAAAGGTCTCAAGCTTCCGGCTTTTACGACCATCAATTGGATCACAATGATTTATGAGTCCAATTGATTTCGGATTAGACTTCAGGTGCCTTAGTGACATCCACTCAAGTAAAGACCAAATATTTACCAATCTGAAATAAATGAACATTCCATTATGAATGATATATGCTGTTTGCAAATTCCATTAGAATGGTGTAGCTTATATCACCAACTGTCATTGCTTTACCCTATGGAATGACTCATAAATTATGTACATGTGAGGACAACGTAACACGGATTTTCACAAGTTACGTTAATTAATTTAAATTTATTTCATAATCATAGTAATTAAAAATAAATTTACATGTCAATAACATTTTTTACCCTTTTATTTATCCACACCATACAATTTAATATAATCATACATACAAATCCCTTCAATTTATTAGCTTTTAATTCTTCAACTTTTATAATAATTTTATTTAATAATTTTAAGTAAGGCCACTATGTTTTCATGAAAATTTTAGCCATGAGCAAATTCTTGTGACTAGTTTCACTAAACCAAAAATTGAAAAAAGTGGCATTATCATAGCAAGTTACATTAATCAACCATTTATCATAACTATTTTCTCCTCAATAATAGTTCTTTAACAAGACGTCGTTTTGTTGTACGCAAGTGAACAAAATTGAATATTCACAAAATGACGTTGTTTTACTAATACATAGTTATTATTATAAGAGGAGAGCCACCTCATAGTCTAAAAAAGATTATTATTATAATTGAATAACCAAAAATCTCAAAATAATAAATAAAATATCTGTAGTAATTTAGAGTTTTCAAAATCATTATTTTATGTTTTTCAAATTATACAATTTTATTAAATTTGAGTTAAATATTAGTTTATTTTTCTTTTCAAAAACTGCAATAAACTTATTACCTATCCAAACCGAAATTAAAACAAATAGCCATAAAAACCGAACGGATAATTAACTTCTTTTCCTGTCCAAATTAATCCGATCAGAAACCCGAATGTCCTGACATAATTTGATTCATCCATCAACAAAATAAACCGCAAATTTCCTGTTACGGTAGAAAAGGTAACCGCATTAAACGTTTTGACCAAATTAAAAGGAAAGAAAAAAATATAATCTTCTTTCTCAATCCAACTTATTTTAATATAAGAGGTTCTAGATCCTTAATCATGAAAGCTCTAGCTAAAACAGCTTTAAGAGCAGCTAGGTCTGTTGCATATGTACAAATTCTTTCAATTTATTAGTTTTTATTGTTCAACTTTTATAGTACTTGTTATTAATATTTAAGTATTTGAGGTGAAAATAATAATATTGTATGATTTAATTATACAATATTATTCAAATAAATGATAAAAATGAATTTTTGTACTACGATATTCAAATATTTAGTTAAAATTTTCATAATAACCTAAATTATATAATGATTAAAATCTTATTTATTTTGACATTAATAAATAAAAAATTACTTAAAAAGAAGAAGAAAAATTATTCATTAAAATAAAATAATCCAAATATGGCCTAGGATCACGTCGTATTGAGCTTGAGGGTATATTCTCTATATATGTATACAAATCAAAATATATAAATAAAGAGAAAATCGCGTAAGTTAAACAATAGAAACTGTGGAGTGTGGTTGCTGCATGACGACGAAGTTCCACCAAGCTGGCTCTCCTCTATATAGTTGGGGAAAACACGGTGCAATCATGGCCGGTACGAACCATAGAAGACCAAGTAGAGCAATGTATAGGGCCAAGTTAGAGATCAAAGAGACGAGGGAGAGGAAGAGACAGAAGCCTGACGTATGAGTTATTCGTCCCATGAAGTAAGCTTCAAATAATGACATCTCATCCTCGGATCCGAATGCACCACCCCACGCCATGCAGCTATACATGAAGGAATTTGGGTAACAAATACTGAGAAAGATCATAGCCTTAAAACCAATTACGTTTTCATCTAAGGGAATGTGGTGGCTATGTATATGCAAGATCGCTGCAACGATGAGGACTATAATGATAAGGTTCATCGCAACATCGTAACGTAGGTTCCCGTCTCTCCATGCACGACTGAGGAGAGGTTCATGTTGTACGATTGTAGCAGTTTGCGTGGCTTCTTGGACTGGCATTGTTAATTAATGATGTTCAAGGGAAACCATGTAAATAATATATATAGTTCTCTGATTAACCAAGTCCTATTTCAAATGTGATTTGAGTTTTTTTTTTTTTCTATCAAAAAATATATATGCGGTTGTTAATACTCGAGTCCTTTTCCAAATGTAAGTAGAAATAATCACTTAAAAAAATATTTGCATTTTGCTTTAGCTACAATATATTTACTATATATATTTTATACTGTACTTAGATGCAATTAATTAATATTGTAGTCGGATGACAATGGTTTTATGAGTGGCTTTTAAGTCTTGGAACATATTTTGTAAATCACATGAAAAAAAGAACATGTGAAAATCGACCATCAAATTAGCAAATATATCATTTGGATTCACATGTCCCTTTCAGCTCTTTGGTTGCATTGCTGTTTATAGGCTTCAAACCTCAAAGAGTAATAAATCGAAAACAAAGAAATTTATAAATAAAAGCAAAATAATTGAGAAGCCTTATGATATAGTATAAAACACTATATCAGTTCAGCCACAAGCTCATTATTAAAAACTCATAATTAATCGATACATAACAAGATAGGTTCCTTTGCTTTCTCTGTTTCCTAGCAATCCTTCGGACATGAATGATTTCATAATGATTTCTCTGTTTCTCTCTTCTCCAAGCTTAATTAGTCCAAGTACTTGTGGATACAAAGCCACAGTTTTAGTGGCCATTTCATCTTCTTCACTATAAACTTATTCTTCTTCTTCTTCACCAAAAACTTAGTCTTTGTAGAGATATTACTAAAACATTGAGGAAGCTGCTTCACTCATCTTTGTTGAATCCTAGCTAGGCCTTCTGCCATTAAGCATCAATGCATTGCGGGAGATGACCTTGTTATCAAGAACCTTGTTTTCAAGAAGTCCACACTGTTGGAAATTGATCATGTGTTTAATCTAGTACAAGTGAAATCAGAAGAGAAAGGTGAGAAGAAGATAGTGCCGAGAGGTTAGCGTCTACGAAAGAAGAAGAAACGACACAAACGAAGAAGAAGAGAAGTAGTAGGAGATGCAGAACCGGAGATGGACCGAGATCGACGATCGAGGGTCGAGATGACAAAGCTAAGATATGGAAATAATAAAAAGATATTAAAATTTAATAGGCAAATTAGATAACTTTAAAATCTAACAAAGAAATTCAATTCAAATTTATGAACGTCAAATGCATAATTTCATACAAATAAAAACAAATATATTAAGCTTCTGAGACAGCAAAAGAATAGTAAACCTCACTAAAATTGAGAAGAGAACATGTTTGTTTATCTGAATATCATTTAGATAAACAATATATGACTAAACATCATTTACTTTTGCTAAAAGGGAAAACGACTAAAGGAAATCCCAACTTTAAAAATCAAATCGTACAATACTGACTAAAGTACATCATCAAAATATGAGAATTTTTGAGAAATACCTCTTTTGGTGTACATCTTTTCAAAAATACTTTTTTGATCTATTTACTTTCAAAAATATGAGTGTTTAATTATGAAAATATGTAAATTTTTATATGGTTTATAAGTTACTTTTAGCTAGATAGCAACTAGTACTCGGAGATACGATCCAAATAATTCATAACATTTTAAATCGTTTTTACGAAGTTTACAAGGTTTTTAAAAGGTTGTTATAAAGTATTTATACAGTATTATGAAAGATATATAAAATTTTATACACATATTTGAATAAATTCAACATTTATAGTGGCTTTTTTGATAAAATTTGAAAAGAAGTATTTTTAAAAAGTGGTATTTGAAAAGATGTATTTTTGAAATTCTCTAAATTATTATTTAGTTTCTCAAAAACTGAAATATTAAAGTAATAGGTTTAATTTTGAGAAGTTACATCATTACTTATCTATGGACTAAAATCTATGGTGTCCTTTGACCCATTTTGCTATTCTTCTAAGGGTTCGACCAAAGTGAAAAAAAAAAAGAAATTTAATTAAGAAAATCAAAAATGGGTAAAACTACATACTTATCCTTACTAAAATAAAAAAAAACTACAGATCCAACCACCTTATATCCGAAAACCCATTCAACTATCGGATATCCATCGGATCCCTTTACTCTTTTGTATTCCTCCTCATCGTTTGAAAAATTATAAGTCCCCCAAACCCTAAGTGTTTTGAAAAATCCGAAAACCACAAGCAGTTCGAGTACAACTAAGGACAACCCGAGATTGGGTAAGTCAAAATCAATGATTCTTTGGATATTTTATGTTAGATCCGCTTGAATGTTATCGATTTAGGTGTTTTCGATTTGTTAATCTTAATTTGGGGTTGTTGATTTTTTTATTACTCGATTATGTTGTTAATTTACGGTTGTTGATTTTGTGTGAAGGAGAAGAGAATGGTGCGTACAAAGAACGCAAGCTTTAACAAAGAAATAGATCCAGTAGGTGAAGTCGAAAAAGCAACAGATGCAATCGTAGAAGAAGATGAGAATCGTGGAGATGATTTTGAAGAAACAGATTCGATTCCGAAATCAAATTCTGGGGATTCAACGATATGTACAACTTGGATAGAATAGTACAACTTGTGCGAACTCGGTATAACTAATTGATTGATTTTATGTTGTGTTTTTGAATCATATTATATGTGAACTCTTTAGATTGGTTTGTGGTTTGTTGTGTTTTTTGGATTGGTGTGTTTTTGAACTATTCTGGTTTAACTTAACGTTGTTTGTTAAGTTTATGAGTCCATTTATAGGTAAACTAGCTACAACTGCATTGAAAAGACCAACTTGGTATAACTAGATATAAGTTGTACCATTACAAAATACAAGATTAACAACAATACAATACTACCCGAATACAAGAATTAACTTCAAATTACCAACAAAGTTAAGCCAATAGGAAAATTTACAATCATATCTTACGATAAGAAAAAGTTATACATAGTTGTACAATTACGAAGAACAAGTTATACTTAGTTGTACCATTACGAAGAACAAGTTATACTTAGTTGTACCATTACGAATAACAAGTTATACTTAGAGCATCTCCAACCCATCTCTATTTTTGCCTCTAAACTCTATTTTATAGCAATTTTTGCTCCAATCCACCTCTATATCCACCTCTATTATAGAGATTGCTATTTTTATCTCTATATATAGAGGAACTCTATTTTTTCCTCTATAAATAGAGGTGAACTATTTTATTGCAAAATAGTCCTTTAAACTTAAATTTCTTTTATTTATGAACAAAATAAATAAAATAAATATATTTAATAACTAATAATATAAATATTTTAGAGGTTTTAATATAAATAAATATTCTAAAATTTGAGACTACCATTTGCGAAAGTAAATTATATAAAATCTTATAAATATATATAATAATAGATTTTATTTTTATTGAAGGAAAAAAGAGATTTTATTTTACCTTATTATATATAATAATAGAATAGAATCTAGTATCTTATTTTTTTTTATATAATGCGATGTACATTTAAATAATAAAATATATAATATGATGTTTTTATAATAAATGTTTAATTTAAATAAAAGTAACTATTTTATTAAAATTTTATAAAAGTTAAAGTAAATGGGTTAATTTGCAACTTTTATAAATAGATGGTGTTAATATTAAAATTTAAAAAGAATCTATTTGGAATATTCTATTATAGAGGAAAAAAATAGAAGAAACCATTGGAGCAAAAGTCACATCTATTATAGAGTTCCTCCATTATAAAGACAAAAATAGCAAAAACCATTGGAGATGGTCTTAGAGCATCTCCAACCCACCTCTATTTCTTCCTCTAAACTCTATTTTATAGCAAATTTTGCTTCAACCCACCTCTATTATAGAGATTGCTATTTTTATCTCTATATATAGAGGAACTCTATTTTTTCCTCTATAAATAGAGGTGAACTATTTTCTTGCAAAATAGTCCTTTTAAATTCAAACTTCTTTTATTTATGACCAAAATAAATAAAATAAATAAATTTAATAACTAATAATAATATAAAATATTTCAAAGGTTTTAATATAAATATATATTCTAAAATTTGAGACTACCATTTGCAAAAGTTAATATATATATAAATAATAGATTTTAGTTTTATTGAAGGAAAAAAAGGTTTTATTTATATTCCATAGTAATACTTTTAATACCAAAACAAATACTTAATATTCTCCTAAATTACTTCCGGATCCACCAATGGGAAAAATACACTTATGCTGATGGTTAAGAATCTAGTATCTTATTGTTTTTTTATGTAATGTGATGTACTTTTTAATTAAAATATAATATATAATATGATGTTTTTATAATAAATGTTTAATTTAAATAAAAGTAATTATTTTATTAAAATTTTATAAAAGTTAAAGTAAATGGGTTGATTTGCAACTATTATAAATAGATGGTGTTAATATTAATTTTTTAAAAGAAACTATTTGGAATATTCTATTATAGAAGAAAAAATAGAGGAAACCATTGGAGCAAAAGTCACCTCTATTATAAAAGTTCCTCTATAATAGAGGAAAAAATAGCAAAAACCATTGGAGATGGTCTTAGTTGTACAATATTCCCAGCCCTATTGCAAGAAGACAACCACATAAACGAGTATACACATAAGATCCCCGATACTCCAGATTCGCAGCTTATTCTTTATAAACCACACAAATTCAGTGTTAACTCAGAAATCGTAAACCTTAAGAGATGACCAAATCCCAAATCGCAAACCCAGAAAGAAGGAGGAGAAGAGAAGATAATAAAACCCAACCCTAGTAAATCCTAGCTAGCTTCCCGATTCCCCCCTTTCAATTTGTTTTGGAAATTTGAATTTTTTGAAAAGTATTAGAAAAAGAAAGAAATGACCAAACAACAAACATGTGATCCACGTTACACATGTGTAGCTGCCAAAATGCACATGTGTAGCCGCCAAAAGACACATGTGCAGCCGCCAAAATGCACTAGTTGTACCAAAATTTCAAGTTATACTAGTTTTGGCAAGTTGTACATTTTTGAT